GATGTTACATTTTGAAAAATGTGTCCCAGAAAACTATCTTTGGCCTGTTCATTGTTGTCGTCTCCGCTGCGTTGCGTTTTGTTGAACTTGTGAATGCAAAGGGTATAGAGGTTGGAGGGCATTATTTTATGGACTTCTTATTTTGTTTAAAATATGGCGTCTATCAAATCACCTTTTTTAACGAAGAAATTCAACGTAATAAAGGCGTGGTTTTTTAAGAGAGAAAATATCGCATTCGAGGGCAGTTTCGATATCAGTGTCGAATGCGACGTTTTCTCTCTAAAAAAACCACGCCTTTATTACGTTGAATTTCTTTGTTAAAATTGGCGAGTGCTTTAGTCTCCTGACAACAGAATTGCGATCTCAAAATCGGAGAAAAATGACGAGTAGCTGAAAAAATGGAACCAATTGATGCGATATATCGCATGCCGCTCTGACGCAAAATATGGCGTCCATCGAATCACCTTAAAGTTGGTTTGTTTCTCCTCAAAAAGAAAAAGAAAGAATAGAAGCGGGTATATTGAAGCACCGCAATGGAGATAAGTGGTTTAGCGCTTTCGGCATCGATTTAGATTTCATGGGTTTCTCTTTTTCGTTGAATTTGTGTCGTTTTGTTATTCATACAGAGACAAGAGACCCTCCACTGGCCTCCTAGCGACAGGTGGAAGCTTTTACTTTCGGGGTTTCAACAATTCCTTATGGACAATTATTAGGGAGCAACAGTCATCACCCTATTTTCGGCTGTTGACTTACCTACATGGTCGATGATGAGCTTCGGGTGACGTCATGAGCCAAACAAGTTTCCTAAACTTCGGCCATTTTCGGCTTGTTTGCGAAACGAAACTGCCAACACGTTGTTAAACATCAACCATGTAGGTAAGTCAACAGTAGAATGCTGAAGTCCCGAAAGTAAAAGCTTCCACCATGACCAAGATACTAGTGGAGGGTCTCTTGTCTCTGTATTCAAATCGTCAGCACTGCCAAAACCCCGACATTACGAGCTTCTTTTTCTAGTGATGGGAGCACGTGAGATGAAGTTGATCAAGTTGTCTTGTGTAATGCACATCGCGCATCATGCGCCTGCAATCTCGCCATCCGCGAAGCTTCAACACAAGATTCGATCGATGCCAAAACGGAACACATCAATTCTCCGATAATCCCTATACTTCGAAAGAATGGCTTATATTCTGGGTCTCATCGAATAAATCACATGCTCGGTTTTAGCACCCATCGATTCAGAAACCCTTCAAACGACTCCCGGATTTTTGTGCACATCGCTCTCTCCTTATCCCTTTATCGATTGCTGGCGCTGAATAAACAGCTGAAACTTTTCAACACATCTTATCTGGGTATTTGCCATGATTGTTACTAATTACAGGTCTTTTTGATTGCTTTATCTCTGATACCCTCCTCGCCGCCCTCGCTTCTCGTTTTTGCCGCGCTGTCGCAACTAATATATTTTTTTTTTTTTTATTTTATCAATGGCTCCATAAGCGCCTTAACTGCCATTACAAAGTCTACTCCAAAGGTGGATAAGTGAGACTGAGGCTCTAACTAAACTCACAACGTAGAATTGGTAAATTTTTTTGTATCAAGTTAGCACCGTCTCTAAACCCACTGAGTAATACGCTGTTATATATCAGTCAAAGAAAATACTTATCTTCCAGGAAAATTTTTTCCGTAACTTCTTGCGAACACTTCTTGAGCCACGGTTTTCTATACAACTGAACATTTTTTTATTGGAACTGTAGGACCAATTCTATATCTCCCTCAATTTTTGAGATTTCATGCTCAAACTCGCGCTGTTGACATATTTTCTACCACCATGCATTTACAAAAAGTTACGGAAAATTATTTCCTGGAAGATAATGTCATTTTTCCCAGATCCAGTCACAGTTTATTTTCGGTTTAAATCAGATATTTAGCGATCCTGTTGAAAAAAAAAAAAATCAAGCGAATTGCATTATCAAAGGCTATGTTATGAGGAAGAGGAGGTTTCAAACTCACCTTTTCGTAACCCCACACATTTTTTGGGGGAAAAATTGTCAGAAAAATACCTTGTTAAAATAAAACATTCCCAGGAAAGATCATCGCACACTTAGTTTCATATTTTTCACTGGAACTTCCTTTAAAACAGCGTTCTAAATAATGGTACAAATCATTTTTGTACTTTCGTGCTTTTTTTTGTAGCATTTTGAAACACAGTTACCCAACGCTACGCCATTTACAAGGAGGAGATTTTAATTTGCATTACAGTTGTTTCACGTGCGGGCCGGGGTTGGTAAGTCAGAAAATTTGCGTCACAAAGTGGATAGAAGAGAAACGGGAAACTTTTGTCGTATTTTCTTCACATTTCTCCGGAGCGTATGTACAGTTTTTGCTGTCGAAGGACATTTTGCAACTTAACGTATTCCAGTACGTTTTCAACAATTTCGCTGCGATAAGCTAATTACCTCTCTTGCATAGTTTCAAAAATGTCAAGCTTCTCGCGTTTCTGAAAACCGTGCCGGACATTGGCATTCCTGATTGCATCATCGGCAGATTTTTCGATATCGTTACTCTTACACGTGCTTAGTTCATGCTCTCATTGCACGCTGCCACTTGCGTCTTAAATGATATTCGTTATGTACCTCCTTAGCATTTGCTGTTATCGTTTTCCTAAAATTATCCATGATTATGTCTCATTTCCCATCAAACCTTACTTTTAACCCCCTGCAGTTGTTTCGACTTTTTTTCCCACCACAAAGTAACCACCACTGAAAGTGGTCATAATCGGTCATGCTTAATAGATCATAGTTAAAGGATGTTTCCAATTGAATCTCTCAGTTCGAAAACGACCCATCTCAGAAAATTGAAATTTTCCGGGAGACGATAAAAACCGCGTGACAGCCAGAAAAAGAGTGTTTTTGCTGCTCTCTTCGCTATCAGAGCAGAATCATTGCAACCCGCAACCTCTCGTCCAGTACGACAGTATAACGAATGGTTTACGTTGAGCGTGCGCTGAACTCGCGACGTCACGTCATCGCGACGTTCTCGCGCCCACGATGAGAAAATTCACGTCAATTTCCCTTTTCTTGGCGAGCCGTCGCGAGGGAAAAAAACTAGCGGCAAGAGAGATAATTTTGCCGCAAATTGGTGACCACCGCACCGCACCTCCCCGCCTGAGAAGCGAAAAGTAGTGCAAGGTCTTCCACCTGCATCCACGTCCCATGTCTGTCCATCAGCGGTTGTTGTCATCGCCATCATCGTCGGCGCATCGGCGGCCTGGCGTGATGTCCGATGAATCGGTCGATCTCCCATTTAAACCTACGGAAAAGGATCGATTATCAAGGTGCTCGCTGCTAATCGATTCTTTACCATAGCTTCAAATGGAAAATATCGATAGCCGATGATCGCCTCGGGCACATCAACTCTTGTCAGCGGTTGTTAATGGAGCCTCTCATCTTCGCGCAAGCCTCCGTCAAAGGCCTTGGTAACGGTCATTGCCGCCCCGCGTCCAACTGCATAGCCTTATCTCATAGAGAAAGAAAATGAGGTGTTTTCATTTCGGGCATCTTGGATTTTTTTAAGGACGTTGCGGTCGGCACGGTCGATTTTTATCATAGATTTTCTTGGAAATGGTGTAGCACAGAGAAAAAAGTCATTCTACGTAAAGTGTTCGAAAGTTTATCAAGGGTTGATTTAAGCTAACAAATCGGACGTGATGGTCCATTTTTCATACTTCAAATTTCGGATTTTGCTGAAATATCGACGCCATGATGTACCGACGCGACCCACGTCACGGGGTGACCAATCCTCAAGATGCAAACACCTCCTTTTTTCTCCTTGGTCTTATCTTTTCTAAACTTTCCTCTGGAGGGAAATCTTAGGCACCTACCTAGTTTTTTCTCCCTGGTAAAAATTGGCAGTAGAATGTGTGTTCCAAAATACTATAGAGCTACAGCCGGCTGTAAGATTTCCAATAGCTTCTATAGCCGGCTACACAATTTCTTATAGCCTTTTATAGCCGGTGGCGATCAAGCAACAGCCAGGCGATAAAGTACCAACGTAAGTAACTTACCAAAGTAAGTGTATGCCAAACCTTACTATTTACGGATGCTAGGACTCACTGAGTTTTTGGACTACTGCTCTCTTTTTGGGCCGTAGTATCTTGATTTATTTTGCGAGGAAAGCTCCGTACTTTTGATGGATGCCTGCCAGTCCTAATATATTAGAGCGCCTTCAGTTTCGTATGATACCGTGCAATACCTCTGGTGTGAAGTAGTTGCTTCAAGGGCCGTGGTACGCTGCGGCGCGGCAGGCGGGCAGCCAGCGCGAAACGCGCATTGGCGCCTACAAACCTAACAGGGATACTTCACGCGTTGCGCAATGCGTGAAGTATCCCTGTTAGGTATGTAGGCGCCAACGCGTCGCCGCTCCGCTTTGTGTTAGACTCTAATATTTAATCTGGCGGAGTCAGCGTTATTCAACTCATGATTTTGAAATGTATGCAAATCCTGCATGGATTATTTTCATTTCAATTGATGAAAAAAAATATGTATTAAAGAAAAATATAATGTGTGTTTTGTTAATATTAAGGTGGTTCCGTATCAAACTTGATGATTTCCAAAGCACACGAATTTCTACACAATTTTTTATAGCCTTTTATAATTGATGGCGAAAAAGCAACAACCAGGCGATAAAGTGTGAAGCCCGGCGATAGGAACTATAGCCCGGCTGCATAATTTTTTATCGCTTCGTATAGCCCGGCCGTATGATTTTCTCCGCATTCTACAGCCAGCTATATGCTTTTCTGTAGCCTTCTTTAGCCGGCTTTAAAAATTCCTATGGTATTTTGAAACGCAGCTCTTATCGCCAATTTTTACCAGGGCTTCCATACCGAGAATAAAATTTTAGTAGCAGATTCTGAATTTTGGTATATTATACATATTTTACACAGAACTTTTTGGTTCTTCGAGTCGCCGCGCCGATTATTGAAAGTTTCCCTTCTTTTTTTTCAGATCGTTCAAGATGCCGAGAAATTGGCCATGCGGATGAACCATCGCGGTGCATGCTCCTGTGACAATGACACTGGGGATGGCGCTGGAGTGCTCACCGCTATCCCTCATGACTTTTACTCCTCCGAGCTCAGGTAATTTCCAGAGGCGGATCCATCAATTTGGCAACACCGGATTTCCTCCATTTAAACCTGTGTTAAATAATCGATTGTTGCCGGAGCACCTGGCTCCTCCAAGAACCGATACATTTCCATAGGCTTAAATGGAGAAAAGACAATTTTGCCAATTTGCTGGATCCGCCGATGGTCATCTCAAGCCTCCACTCTCTCATCTCATCATTGAAAGAAAGATAAAATGTGATACCGTAAAAGTCTTGTTCTTTTTCAGGAGAATTAACTGTTTCGGGCGGAAGTCACCCAGGCCACAACCTACGGCGAAAACTTTTCTATTGGCAGGGAA